GTGGACCACGCTCGTATGCGGAAGAGCGGCGTGCACGTCGGGGACCAAGGGGTCCGCCAGGCCCAATTGCTGCTGAGACGAGTTCGATTCCATGCCCCCGTCCGCCATCGAAGGAGGCGAATTGTTGTTGTTCTTCCTGCTCTGCTGGCTGTNGGGCAGCTTGTTGTCCTTCTTCCACTTCATCCGACGGTTCTGGAACCAGATCTTGATCTGCCGCTCGGACAGGACCAGGGTGTGAGCGATCTCGATACGTCGCCGTCTCGTCAGGTACCTATTGTAATGGAACTCCTTCTCGAGCTCGAGGATCTGGTGCCTCGTGTACGCGGTCCTCTGCCTTTTGGGCTCCATCCCGGGCTGGTACGAGCCGTTCGCTGAAATAATCGAAACAGAGATCGGGGGCGATGTTAATTTCGACTGGCTCTCTGGTTTTTTCATTGGGGAGTTGAATTATTTTCGACGAGAAAATTGCGATTTCTTTCCTTTTTTTTTTTTTTTTTTTTTTTTTTTTTTTTTTTTTTTTTCGTAAAGGGAGTAAAAGTTTCTCCTGTGAAACGATAGCGTGGAATCGAAAATTTTGCATCTACGTTGTCACGAAAACGATGACGTGACGCAAGCGTTTCTAAAAATTAAACCACCTCGATCCGAAAGTTGTATAATTAAACTTATTTAAAAAAAGAAAAAGAAAGAGAATCCATTGCTTATGATAAACGAAATTGGTGTTTTTCTTTCTTTCTTTCTTTCTTTCTTTCTTTCTTTTTTTCTTTTTTAGACGACATCGACTTTTAGTAAATATCAAGTAATGGCTTCGACCTCGTCTATTATTACGAAGTAGCACAGCACAAATACCCGAGCAATTATACAAGCAATTATACGCCGATGCTATCGCGAAGTTTTTTTTTTTTTTTTTTTACTTAATATGCGAGAATCGATATTTTTCTATTTATCAGGAACACGTATATAAGAATAAACAAAGGCAAGAATAATTCAACGAATGATTTGCACGATAATAATGGAGGTATAAGTGGAAAGAGCAATAAAATGTATAATTTTTTCAAATTTGATCCCAAAATAGCCTATCCATTAAAAAAAAATATATATATGTATACATATACAGAGTAGAAAAATTAACAGGTAATTGATTAGTTAAATGTCCAAGCAAGTTTTTGATCTATGACGTTGGTTGAAAATTTTGTTACAAATTCCAAAAACTCGTGCTTCGACTGACGTGCAATCGGTAATTATTTTAAGCCTTGCGTCGTTGTCGTGATCGACTTTGTAGAATATATGACATACATATATATATATGTATATGTATATGTATATGGATAAAGAAAAATATGACACGTGCAACGACGTTTCTTCGAAGAGACGCGTGGAACAACCGGCTCTAGATTTCACAATCGGCAGAGGCCGATTGTTTCAAGGCCGTGCCGCCAGATGATCGTCGAAATTGGATTGAATTGCTTGGCAGGCGATCGTAATAATAAAAATGGTGGATGCAAATAAATAAATTCGACGCGACGAATCGAGTAATGTAATAATTAAAGTTGAAATTTCTTCAACTCCTCTGGTTAATATTTATTTATTTCGTTATTTCTCTTCAAATAACGAGAAATGGAAATTCTAATGATATAATTGATATATCGAGAATTTTAAACATTTGAAATTAATTATATTTTTACACGAGGAAGCAAATAATAAAATCAATCACGAAGGATCTTCGAATGATAGATCTAGTTGTAAAATCTTTAGATCAACGGATATAATGCATTTATAATTGCATTTACCGTCTCCGCGATATTATTCAATTTTCTTTATCCAATATGTCAAACTATTATCATCATTTTCTCATTTACACATATTACATATTTACACAATTACATTTCTCTCACGAGTCTTTACGATGTGTCGTACGAAATAATATCGTATCGTTCTCTCATCCATATTTCAGAATTCAATTTTTCCCATTAATCCAATATTTAAGATCTCTCTCTGTTCCGCACCACGATTTTCCTTTTTTCCCAAATTCAATTATTAATTTTCATCCTAACCTTCTCACCAACGATTAACCATTTCCACCGTTTCCATTACGACCACGTGATCCACGATATCAAAGCGTACCATCGCATCTCTTGTCGACTCGAGACGAAACGAAGGTGATGGCGCTCGTGCATCGATCCATTGCCCGTATCACGGACAAACGTCAATCCTCGGATGCCTAGAAGCGTTTCTTGGTGGTCCGAAGCCACGATAGAGGAAGCACCACGGCACCGAGTACGGTTTAGAATCTGTGCAGACGCATTCCATTCCGAGGCTGACCGACGGTCCCTCGTAACAGCGGTTCAGAAGGGAGAGAGATTGCAGTCCGGCTCGACAGGCCGACGGACGCGCATACCAGACTTTGCTGGACGTCGAACTCGAACGAGGATCGTGTTGCGCGCGAAAATGATACTGCTGACGATAAAAATGACACGACCTCTTCGTAGAGTAGATTCGTCTCGAAGAGCTCGTCGAAGAAGGGGGAAGATTCTTTTCTGGGAATGAGATTTCATTGTTGGTTGAAAGAGGTAAACGTTATGGCGTAATATATCAAGGAAAGAATTTCTTTCTTTTTATATTTTTAATATTAGATTTAATTTATAAATATTTCTGTTGGATAGATTCTCATTTGAGAGCCTTGGAAATTTTGAGAGTAGAAATGATAGTAATAATTGACTCAGTTTTTTTGAGAATGAAATTTCATTGTTGATTGAAAGAATAAAGGTTATCATGTGATATACCAAGGAAAAAATTTCTTTCTTTTTATATTTTTAATATTGGATTTATAAATATTTCTGTTGGATAGATTCTCATTTGAGAGTCTTGGAAATTTTGAGAGTAGAAATATAATAATAATTGGTTTAATTTTTTTGGGAATGAAATTTCATTGTTGGTTAAAAGAGTAAAGGTTATCATATGATATACCAAGGAAAGAATTTCTTTCTTTTTATATTTTTAATATTGGATTTAATTTATAAATATTTCTGTTGGATAGATAGGATAGATTCCCATTTGAGAATCTTAAAAATAAAATAATAATTGATTCAATATTTTTGGAAATGAAATTTCATTGTTGGTTGAAAGATTATCATATGATATACCAAGAAATTGTTTCTTTTTATATCTTTGATATTGGACTGGGTTTAATTTATAATATATTTCTATTGTATAGATAGGATAGATTTTCACTTGAAAGTTTTATAATTTTTTGAGGTAGAAACAAAAATGATAATTAATTCAATTTTGGGAATGAAATTTCATTGTTAGTTGAAAGAAGTAAAGATTATGATATAATATATCAAGAAAGAATTTCTTTTTTAATATTTTTAATATTGGACTGAGTTTAATTTGTAAATATTTCTATTGGATTTATATAATTGTACAAGTAAATATTGATAGATTTTTATTTGAAATTTTTTGAGACAGAAATAAAGTATAATTGGTTCAATTTTCTGAATCAAGAATGAAATTGTTGATTGAAAGAAGCAAAAATTATATATATCAAAGAAAGAATTTATTTCTTTTTATATTTTTAATAGAACTATATTATCAAGACTATATTTTTTATATTATTTATATCAAAACTAATATTTAATTTATAAATATTTCTATTGAATTTCCTTATTGAAAGAGGATTTGTACAACTCTTGATATTAAGAAAAGAATTTGTTTCTTTTTATATCTTTAGTATTGAACTGGGTTCAATTTATAATATATTTCTATTGGATAGATAGGATAGATTTTCACTTGAAAATAAACTCTTATCATTTTTTGAGGTAGAAACAAAATGATTGAATTAATTTAGTTTTCTGGAAATGAAATTTTATTGTTGGTTGAAAGAAGTAAAGGTTATGGTATGCATTCTTTCTTTTTATATCTTCAATATTGGACTTAAAAGTGTAAATATTTTTATTAGTTGAATTTATGATTTTCTTTGTACAAATCCTTTGTACAAAGTATTGATAGGATTTTTAGATTTTGGAAGTTGGAAATCTTAGGATTTTTTGAAATAGAATTGAGAAAGAAGTAAAGGTTATGGTATGATATATCAAGGAAAGTATTTGTTTCTTTTTATATTTTTAATATTTTTGGACTGAGTTTAATTTAATAAGTATTTCCATTGATTGGATTTATATATATTACAATTTTCAAGCCTTTTTACAAGTAAATGAAGTTGATAAAATAGATTTTTAATTGGAATTTTTTGAAATTGAAATAAAATATTAATCGGTGAGGATTATTAAATTTAGTGAACTTTTTCGTAGAATAAAGATAGAAAAAGATATCAAAAAATATCATTTTAAACGGATATATAATCAATTTCAATCATTTATCCACAGTTTATTGTAGCATATATTGTAGATCAAAAGGCTTGAAGAATTGCAGTATCTTTTCGAAATCTTATATCTTCAAAACTTATTCAAACCTTTTCCTTCTTATTATTATCATATCATACACTTGTACACCTTCGTTCCAAAGAAATTTAGACGCGAAAAGAGAAGTTTCGTTACGGACGCGTTTAAAAACTCGTTTCGCGTATATACGCCCTACTGCACGTTTCTTTTTCATCGGCGATACCACCTTTTTTTTTTTTTTTGTTATACCTGGAAATATGAATTATGATATTCGGCGGCGATACTATCCGGGATAGAACGAAGCTAAAAGCGAAAATAGTTGCAAGCTGGAATGAACAGCCACTTTCCCCGGTCAAAACCGGGAATAGAAATTCGTGGCTGCAAAGGCAGCCCAATTCTCTGGGATATTACGTTGCAAAAATTCCCTTTGAACGTTCATAATCCCTCTGCGAAATGCCTCCCGCGGACAGGAACCCTCGACTCACGCCATTTTTATCGAAACGTTCCCAATAAACTATTTCCAACCTCTCTCTGTATCGAGCAAAACCGTTCGCCCAGGATAATACGTTTCGACCAACTATTTTCTTCTTTTCCCTTCCTTTCGAAAAAAAGAAGTCAGCCTTCGTCGTTAATACGCAAATTTATAATGGAACGATGAATATTCCATATCGATTATTTATTTGTTATATATTTCACGGAATAAAGTTTAAAATCGAAACGACTTTTTTTTGAAAAGTAATTCGCATTAATCGTTCGAACGAAAACACAAACAAATTCCGTAAAATAAAATATATGATATATTCTAGCGTTCAAAAAAAGAAAGAAGTAAAAAATATTTTCCATGAATCGACACAAAACTTCTTCCTTCTTGCGAAGGATCAGGTGGCAAACGAGAAAGGGAATTATCGAAGCGGCGTTGTACGATCTACGATCGACAGATCACCAATCGATCCCCTTCCCCCTCGACAATATAAGACAAACTTCCCGTCGATTTGTCCGTTTTTCTAACGCGTGTTCAGAGTCGTTCTTAAACGCTTAGCTATTTCTCAAGTTGACGCGCGGTACGGGATGAAGAATAGCGACACCAGGCGTGACCGAATAAGCGGTAAATGGACAGGCTTCTAAAATCTCGCGCGCAGGTGATCGAGAGGGAAAGGTGCAACGATAAATCGGGGCCCATCACTCTTCTTCCGTAACCCATCACCTTGCGTTGCAACAGTTTAGTTAGTTAAATTCGCTTCCGAATTCCTCGTCGCGTGATGCGAAGAAAGAAAGTAGACAATTTTTCAAAAATAACTTTTTCGAAAAAACCTAACTAACTAACTATAAAAGTAGAAAATGAAGATACGTTATACAAATAATAAAACGACGCATGACCGTTCGTTCCGTCGGACGAAGACCGATTAGCCTCTCCCTCCTATTATCCTCGACTTTGAAATTGACACGATTACTACTCTAAAAACGTCTCCTCTATCAAACGTCTAAATTGGACCAACACGACCACCTCGAGTGGTTCGTATATATATATATATATATATATATACGAACGGGCCATTGAAAATTTTAACTCACCGACACCAGCTACGTGAATCTTCTTCATCCACGGATAAATCACACGGTCTCCGTTCTCCTCGTCCTCCTCCTCCTCCTCCATCATTCCAGGCGACCCGTCCATCATCTGATCGTCCTCCACGTCGTCCTGATCGGATCCATCGTCCACGTGATGATGTTGTTGCTGCTGCTGTGACTGTTGCTGGCCCTGTTGTTGCTGCTGCTGCTGTTGTTGGCCACCCTGCACGTGTTGACCGGCGCTCGATTGTTGTTGCAGATCGGGCGAATTGTCGCGATGCAGTTGGCCGGATGCAGTAGGCGGGCTGCAGGCGGTGGCCTCGTGGCTCGGTTGCTG